CTTTTGGCGACCAAAAAAAAAAGTTGGTCGCGAAAAGTCTACTATTGGCGACCAAAGGCTTTTTTGGTCGCGGAAGATTACCCTTTGGCGACCAAAAAAAAAAGTTGGTCGCGGAAAGTATGCTATTGGCGACCAAAGGCTTTTTTGGTCGCGGAAGATCACCTTTTGGCGACCAAAAAAAAAGTTGGTCGCGGAAAGTATGCTATTGGCGACCAAAGGCTTTTTTGGTCGCGGAAGATCACCTTTTGGCGACCAAAAAAAAAGTTGGTCGCGGAAAGTATGCTATTGGCGACCAAAGGCTTTTTTGGTCGCGGAAGATCACCTTTTGGCGACCAAAAAAAAAGTTGGTCGCGGAAAGTATGCTATTGGCGACCAAAGGCTTTTTTGGTCGCGGAAGATCACCTTTTGGCGACCAAAAAAAAAGTTGGTCGCGGAAAGTATGCTATTGGCGACCAAAGGCTTTTTTGGTCGCGGAAGATCACCTTTTGGCGACCAAAAAAAAAGTTGGTCGCGGAAAGTATGCTATTGGCGACCAAAGGCTTTTTTGGTCGCGGAAGATCACCTTTTGGCGACCAAAAAAAAAGTTGGTCGCGGAAAGTATGCTATTGGCGACCAAAGGCTTTTTTGGTCGCGGAAGATCACCTTTTGGCGACCAAAAAAAAAGTTGGTCGCGGAAAGTATGCTATTGGCGACCAAAGGCTTTTTTGGTCGCGGAAGATCACCTTTTGGCGACCAAAAAAAAAGTTGGTCGCGGAAAGTATGCTATTGGCGACCAAAGGCTTTTTTGGTCGCGGAAGATCACCTTTTGGCGACCAAAAAAAAAGTTGGTCGCGGAAAGTATGCTATTGGCGACCAAAGGCTTTTTTGGTCGCGGAAGATCACCTTTTGGCGACCAAAAAAAAAGTTGGTCGCGGAAAGTATGCTATTGGCGACCAAAGGCTTTTTTGGTCGCGGAAGATCACCTTTTGGCGACCAAAAAAAAAGTTGGTCGCGGAAAGTATGCTATTGGCGACCAAAGGCTTTTTTGGTCGCGGAAGATCACCTTTTGGCGACCAAAAAAAAAGTTGGTCGCGGAAAGTATGCTATTGGCGACCAAAGGCTTTTTTGGTCGCGGAAGATCACCTTTTGGCGACCAAAAAAAAAGTTGGTCGCGGAAAGTTATGGCGGGCTAAATTTAAAAAAAAAAGATACTACTGTAATTACATGCTATTTTTCTGTTTAGGCATTAAAAGTTTTATAAAATAATATATAACCCAATTTTTATACGTTATATATATTGTTTGCCAAATATGAACAACAAGCATGTTATTGACAGAGTGGATTAGGTGTATGGTGGCTCCTTGGTCAGGAGTTTGAGTCTCAGGCAGCACAAAAGAATTATCTTTTTTGGGTCAAGGCGCTGACTTTTGGCGACCAACTTATCTTTGGTCGCTAAAAGTTTACTTTTAGCTAATATGAATTGGACTTTTTGTGACCAAAAAAGTTGGTCGTGAATGGTCACTTTTAGCGACCAAAGGCTTTTTTGGTCACAGAAAACTATCTGTGACGAGGCTTTAGCGACCAACTCGTGACCAACATATTTTGGTCGCGAAAAGGTTTTAGCGACCAAATATGGTACTTTTCGCGACCAAAATGTTGGTCACGGAAAGTGTTTTTTCTTGTAGTGTTTGTTATAAAAACATGGGATTGTTTACATAAAATTTCCATAGTTTAATTTTGAATTCATATGTCATTTAATATTAGTTTTTCAATTGAAATTTTGTTTACCACAACCAGGATTTGGCCTCCATCATGATCTCAGCCAATATCTTAGGCACCTTAGCTCAAGATCATGCCATATGAATGTCTTGGACTCATGTAATGTTACGTAAAATTATGTCCCTAGACTAGTAATGCTAAGATAATCGCATTTAGGTATCATTTTATGTACAACCTTGTGTGGGTGAAAATCTGACCACACTGCCCGTTTAGTGATTAGCTGGAGGGCACAGGCGGAATAGATGGCTTAGGCAACCTGAAACATAAAGAAAAAGCTCCGGTGGTGGTTCTTCCACCTGGGGGCACTCCGACGATCAAGTCAGTATATCTCTTAAAGATAATCAAGTACTAAACTGAATACTCAAAACATAAATTGCATACCTTAGACCCACGGGGGTGCCTCTCTTTTATAATATACTCAATCCAAGTCCCACTAGAAGTATGACTTCTATGAACTCCAATTTACTGCTTATTCTGGACTCTATAAGAGATAAAGATAAAACTCCCTAAGAGCTTTATCCTTATCTTGGTTAAGTCCCCTCTTTGCCTTAGGACTCTTGTCCCTTATCTGCTTATCTCGGATTCCGATATCTTCGGGGATAACCTCGGCAACTCCGAGATCATCTCGGCTTAACTACCAGGACACGTGGCACCTCGGCTGACACGTCAGCGTCACCATGCCACGTGTTGGTATTCAGAAAATACATCCCCACAACTGCCCCCTAGGTTCTATTACCTCGGCATTCTGAGGTGATGGAACCTATTCCGATATTTTGCCACTTCTTTTCTGAGTAATGGTTCAAAAAACTGTTTAGCCGAGATAATCCTCTTCCATCCAACGTGTTCTCTTCGGAGAACAAGGATTCGATCGTACTCTCCCACGCGCATGAGCTGTCATGCATATCTAACCGTTCCTTTTTACGTGTTTTGTTTTCATTGGAGCGTGTCTGTGACGCGCCTGAAAGCTGTCTGTTCGTTCGTCTGCATCGTCTGACGCGTGCGTTGCTCTAGGCGTAATAATTGCCCTATTTTTGCTGCCGTTTCAAATTTTTGACAAAACTCTTTTTGCCTCTACTTTTCCTTCACTTTTTCATTCTGCCTTCTTGCTCTTTCTCTCTCTGAAAGCTCTTTCTTCTTCGAATCCGCCATTGCTTCGATCTCTCTTCTTGAACTGCTCTTAATCCCTCATTCTTGCGAAAGCCCTCTTTGCTGTTGCAACCAATTTCTGGGTTCGGCGAGCATTGCCTCGGCTTCATTTGTCCTGGTAAGACCCTTTCCTTTAATTCTTCCATTCTCTTTATGTGCTTTTGTCTGTCTGTCGCCATTACTGATCTTGTTCGAGGTCTCGGTTTTATTTGTATCTTGAATTTGTGGCTATGCCTTGAACTTCTATGTTTTTTCATCATTCTCTTTGTCGCTGTTCTTGATTTGTTTCTGTATCTCTATTGTTTCTGAGAACTATACCTCTGTTCTTGAATCTGAAACTTCGTCTTTGTTTTCTCTTTTTTGTATCTGCCCCAGATCTACTTTTTCACCATTCTCTTTGCCATTGTTCTTGATTCTTTTTTTTTATCTGCCCCAGATCTGTGCCTTCAATCTTGGTCTTTAGAGTTCTTAGGTTTGGGATTTGTGCGTAGAACCTTCAAATTTAGGGAAAACTGAAATAAGCCTTATCAGCCATTTCTTAGATTTTTACCGAGGTTTTTGTAACCCTTCCTAAAAACGCCCATCTTCTGAAACATATTTTAAATTAACATAATGGGTATGTGGAGGCATAGGGTAAATACCCCAACAAAACTTGAATACTTTAGGCAGGAATTCTCTATCCCAGCCGATGTTCATCTTAAACTAGCTGGGGACAGTGATACCATCATACCCACAGACCATACGATGCCCTTCCCTATAGTAGCTTTCACCGAATGTGGACTTCGGCTTCCACTTGATCCCCTGTTTCGCGAAGTTCTTTACTTCTATAGGCTGAACCCCATGCAACTTACTATCAATTCCTATAGGGTAATTAACGGTATTATTGCTTTAGCTAGGCAAGAGAACCTTAGAATTACCCTGGCCGACCTTCAATACTGCTGTACCATGTGCCCTCTTGACCTGAAGGATAGGGGTTTCGTTTATTACCTTAAACCGAGATCTACTCAGTACAAAATCGTAGCCGACCTCCCAGACTCCAACAAGGGGGCTGGAGATGATTTTCTCATTGCTTCTGGAAATTGGTAATTTGGCCCTGATGAAGATGTCCACCTCTACCCTCTTCCTCGAACAATTACAGAGGGCAAGAGTAAGAGCCCTGAGTCAACACTTAGTTGTTTTTATTTAAGTCTTTAATATTTTTTTTTGTTTCTGACGTCTGTTTCTTTGTCCTGCAGATTTTCGTCAGCCACCGAAAAATTTTCGTCAATCCTTCTTCCCAGGAACAGATCTAAAAACACTCCTTAACCTTCCAATCCATAAACGAAAAGCCCCACTGTTACTAAACTTCATCCCTACATACAAATCCACTTTACCCGACGTCCCAAGAAAAAGGAAGAAGAGTCTTTCTCCACCCACGGCCATAACCTTAACTGCTTCTACATCCCGAACAGATCAAGAGCCCACATCTGACCCAGCCGATCTTCCATAAACTTCGGCCCCCTACTTAATACCAATTCCTGAACGTAAACGTCAAAGAAGGCTTGTAAAGACTGCCGAGATGGTTCGTCCAAGGCCTGTCGTTCAAGACCTTCTCGCCGATCTTCCAACTGACGCCGAAGCCGCACCAACGCAATCAATGCTCCCACCCAAACCAAAGAGAGTTAAAAAGGCTCAGCCTAAAGCCAAGGCTACAGATGCCGAAGCTGAGGATGCTGTGCCTATTTCAAAGCTGGCAGAAAGCAAAAAATCAACCTCTGTTTCCACCAAGAGGTCAGCTGAGGGACAACCCTCCGGGTCTACTCAATCAAAGAGGCCAAGGTCATCGTCTGCGACGACCTCGGCGTCAAAGAAGCCCGATGTTCCATGGGCTCCTGAACTAACCCTGGAGGACAGGCCTATCATGGCCAGTGAAAGTGCCGACGATATTAACGTTGGTGTCGCCCTTAGCACAGCTCTTCTCCTTCCAAATGATTTGGAGCGAAATGCTAAGCTTAATGCTCCAACACTCCGTCCAAGTAAGTATTTCTGTTTGTACTTGTGATTTTTTCTTCCGTTCTTTACTGAGAGTACTGTCTCACATTTCTGTTTTTTCTGCAGGCCATTCAGCATGCCCATTCATTTTCAATGCAATCTTTTGAAAATCGTCAAAGGTTGGTTGATATGAAAAGGGAAGCATCTTCCATGAAGAGAGAGATAAAGTCCCTTGAAGCAAAGATGAAAAAACTGGAGGATCAAGCCGAGGCTGCAACTAAAGTTCAAACTTTAGCTCTTGAGAAGGCCGAATCTGTTGAGGCCGTTAGAAAAGTTGCTGAGGCCGAGAAAAGAGAGGCCGAGGCTCAGAAGGCCCAAGCGGAGAAAAAACTCTAGCAAGCTCTGGCCACGAAAGAGGCCGAAGTCAAAGAGGCCGATGAAAAGGCCTACGCCCAAGGTATGGCCGACGTCGCAGAAGATTATAAGCTTCAAGTCAGGCAGGCATGCAACAAGGGATTTTCCCTAGGTTGGATGTCTCTGATAAAGAAGCTTGATCTCCCTGTTGACTCGCCCCTTCGGAGTGCTGATGCCATCCCTTTGCCATTTCTTCCACCTCCACCTGAAGGTGAATCAGAATCTGATGCTGACGCCAAGGATGAAGATAAGGAAACCAATGAAGAAGCCTTGGTGAGAAAACCCAAGGATGCCATCGTAGCCAAGCCCCCTCCTCCTACTGAGCAGGTTATGGACTTAACTTTGGATGAGGAGGGTGATGAGGCCAAGAAGGCAACCAAGGAAACTGCCACTGGGCATCTATCGTCCAATCTTCTCTTGATAGAAAGAAGTGTTGAGGAATCACTAGCAGAGATTGATGCCGAGATACAAGCGGATAAAGTGGCCGACGAGGTTCCACCAGAATCGTCCGAGGTCCCAGTCCCTGCAGTGGCTAACAGTGAAGAATCTTGAAAAAATTGTCTTTTGTATTTTTTCCTTCTTTTTCTGTACTTTGCACTTTTGTACTTTTCTTAATTTTTGGACAATGAAAAACTTCTTCTTATGGCCGACGTGGTTTTTTCAATATGTAATTGCAACTGTTCTTTTCTACGGATGTTTTAATCTTGTGATGTTCTGTTGACTGGTTTCTGCATAGTCTTGTATTTAGAAGTTCTTTGCATGCTTCTTCATGTCGTTTCCTTTGTGCAATCTTCTCGGGGTTACATACCTCGGGTATAACTATAAAACTTAAACTTCGGCAAGATACCGACCTGCAAACTTTTCATGAATTTTAACAAGTATAAAACATATATTTCTGAATGTAAATTTTGCAAGTTTCTTCTCAAATAAGTATCAAACAGTGATCTTGATCTATCTTACTTGTAAATTGTTACAAATTTTCAACAAGTAGTAAACAATATACTTAGCCTCTATATCAACCTGCAAATTTCTGTACACCTCAGCGGGTGATCATATGTCGGCTTAACATAGACTTGTGAATTGCTACAAATTTCAACAAGTGTTAAGCATCTGCCCTAGGGTTTAAGCAACCCACATATTGCTATGAGAACTTAAGCAATAACCTCGGCGTATCTTCAACTTGTAAATCGCTACAAATTTTAACAAGTGAAGATAAGGAATAATCTCGGCTCCAACTTGTAAATTGCTACAAATTTCAACAAACGTTAAGCATTT